TTACATGTTGTAACGCATCTGGTTGTTGCAGATAAAATGGTGAAATTCTAACTTACTCTTTTACCTTGACCGTAGTGAAACAATGTTGTTCAATTGTTATAATTACAGTCTCCACTCCGTCGTGGCCGATAATTTCGTATTTTATTATTTATGTTTGTACTGCCTAAACTAAACTCTTTCAATGGCTAAAAAGTCGTTTGTTCTCTTAATATAGTTCCCCGAGAACTTGTATTAACGTTACGAGCAACTTTTACTCTGTTGGCTCGAAGTTCCAAGTTTTCCAAAGTATCCGTTTGAAATTTGATGATCACTCACTGTTCATTTCGATAGATGATCCAACTTTTTGGTAACGAAACAGTCGACAAAACACCGATCGCGTTAAATTTATCGAAGACACAGCAACATTCGAGTTTCAAGCTTCAAATCGACGTTTAACGAATATTATCGAGCAGCAATCTCTAGGTTCTAGGTTTATTCAATACGCTTGTGAAATCGGAACATTTCGCATGCAACAGTCTAATAATATTTCTAACTCTGCTAGTTTTTCGCTTGATTCCCGATGCTACCTTTCGACTTTACGGCTAACATTGTTTTCCCGTGGAGAAGTCAGATCGAAGTTTATCTTCTTACACGCGATCCAGGTCGAGCGGAGAAACTTTTCAGAATAGAGCAACTTCTCTAAACTCGGGTGGGAACCTCGATGGTTTTCGGTTCGTACCAGAGAAATTACGTCCCCGGTTAAAAGTCGCGCCGTTCGTTACCTCGGAAATGACATTTTTCTCATTTTCGTCGACGTAAGTGAGGCAGGGTTACTCGAGTCAACGATTTAAAATTCAATCTCCAACTTTCCACGGCATGACCTGTTGTATGTTGTCAGATGCCGTTAATTCTTAATATAATAACGGGGAAATACTAAATACGTGACACTGAATTACAAGAATATTAACAATGAACGGAACTTTTCCCTCTTTGATCGGAAGCTGATAGAAAACTGTAATAACGGAAACAATATATTTAAACGATATCAGAGACGAGTAAGTTTTTGACCTGCATTTTTATTACGATGATTATTATATAACTGAAAATATTAGCATTGGCAAAACTTTTTTCCCTCCTGACGAATAAGAGTTACATTTGCGTGGAAAAGTTATGATCATTGAGCTGTTAATCCATGTACTGCGCCGAGCGAATATATCTTGTTGAAATGCAACAATGACATCCAACGTACAGAGATGCACACTTGACGGAAGTTTTCGAGTTGTAGTTTATGATAATTATCGCTGGAAATATTAACATTCTGGGGAAACTTATACCTTCGAAATACATATATAAAATATCCGTTATGACTAACGAATCTTTGTTTAAATTCTAATTTCTGCATTGCGGTATACATTGTGTTCCAAGACACTAGATACTTACGAGTTAAATTTTCTTTCGCAAGGAGTACAAAACGCGAGACGAACGGTGTCTTATTACACCAGCTCCTGTGCCATTCGCTTTTTCTTCGGCTTTCTCTTCTTACGTAATTATTTCTGTTGTTTCCACGTTTGTACGCTCTAGAAAAACATATTTCAAAAACCTGAGGGGGAAAAAGTACTATCTGAAACCCTGCTGTGACTAACAACAAGTCAAATATTCCGTTGTCAAACGTTCTCAAGATCCCTGGAAAATTATAACACAAAGCACAGCTTGATTCAGAATATCTCACCGGCTGGAAATAACCTACTGTCTTACCCTAATTTTCTTCGGCGAGTGAAACGAGGCCTATCGCGCCTATCGCGATGAAAAGCATCGAGACGACTGCTGCGCGAAATTACCAGGTTTCATCAATCTTTCGCCACCGATCGCGAGATAAAGCCGTGCACACGGGGGAAAAGCGTTCGACAGTCGATAACCACTTCATCAGCGCGAATTAATCCTGCACGCGTTGCTTTCAATGTCTCATTAGTTACATTATCACGGTGACATCCGCGTGCACAAACGCGAGCCAGCTTTCTCCATGATGAATGATTGAAATCAGCGGAACGTTAACCATGAAAGGAGAGTCGACCTCGATCGATAGGCTATCCGCGGGCTTAGACAATAATTAGGTGAAAACATCGACCCCTCCCTCGGATCGGATTATCGATTGTACCGGGAGAGCACGGTTGCATGTAAACCTCGCGCACGATTAGCTCGAAACACGTAAGGGACTGGTTACAACGTAATATGTGGCCCTCGTTGCGTTACATCGTTGCGATTATTATGTGACACACCTGTCCCGTGAAGTTTAGCTCCCTCTTGTCGCAGTGTTCCTCAGTTTATTGGCGCTTCGAGGCGCTCGATCGGGCCGCGGTGTACGAGATGATACGACGCGTCGTTACGAAAGTAATTTCAAAACGATTAAAACGGTTAGATTGCTTTTAGATATTTTAATTTTAACGTTGTCCGTCATTTTTCTCGAAAATTCTGTGAATTTTTAACTTTATATTTATTGTTATCTGTAGAGTGTAGAATAGAGATATCGTAGAATTTATAGATTCTTTTTTTTTTTTTTT